TATATATATCAATCCATGTTGACTCCAAACACACACCTAGCTGATCTGCTGTAAATGTGTAGTTTCACAAGTATGTTTGGTACTTTCGTTATAGTAATGTACGCTGGAGCCGTCTTTTCAAACGCCCTGTAACTTCGTTCCTCCCACTATCAGTGCAATACAACTGGAATATACACGTATTGTCCGTTTCAAATATATAGTATAACGCAACTTCTGACGTATACTATAACTTATTGTCTTCTATCATTGCAGGGCAATGTTACAGTCCGGCTGTATCACGCGCAGACAGCGCCGACACCCAATCGAAAACTGTGCGAAGTGTCGGTGGATGTGGGTCTCATACCTCAAGGTATGCATTGTAGTGTGTTATAACGTGAAGTTAAAACGACCGTTTAAATGAGAAGTTAGAAAGACTGTTAAAATGGGAAGTTAAAAATACCGTTTATATGGCATTTAAAGATATGTGGATGCCAGAGACCGTTGAAATGGCTTTATACTGCACGACGAGTATAGTACGGGTTGTACGACCGCCACACAGATATATTCAGTGGTACAACATACTGTCGTGTATATAGTCACAGATAGACGGCAGAGTCTTACGCACACGCACGGACGAAGCGGTGCACTAGAGCACGCACACAAACGCAGGCCTGGGGGACGGTAGGGATGCACACAAGTATGTGCCTGCATCGAAGCAAACCAATCACTCACATATACATATATGCACACACACATATATATTTACATACATACGCACACATATATACGTGCATACACACATGTGTAAATACTTGCATATACACAAATACACATGCATGCACACAGATACAGAACCGACCTGTCTAGAATCGCTGGCACTCCGCGCATAACCTACAACTGGTGACATAATAACCCAATGTCTATACTGCCATATGTGCATGGGACGGTGCTGTAGTGATAAACGGAGTGTCAAGTATCGCCCTCCACCACACGAACAATAGCTGCGCCTGTAGCGCATAGGTGCTCGTCTGTTGCTTCTACCGGATGCCAAACTGCAGTCAACACATATACATATACCTACACATATACGAATTTATATATGCCGCACGAGACTATTGTATTAAATCCCATGCGTATGCACATGTACATGTATGCAGATGTGGGACAGCCTACTATCACTATTCTGCAACAGGAGCTCGTCTGTAATGTTTACATATAAACATGAGGACGTCTATAAGCTCGATCATGTACCGATTTCTTGTGAGTTCATACACATATACAACCACACACAAGCGACAGAACACTATTACAACGATATAACCGCTATGACCATGCACATATATGGATGTATACAACTATATATACAAATATACAATCACACACAAGCAACACCTCACTATCACAGCAACCTTATTGTTATGATTTTACACATATATACATATATGCAACCGCACACAAACAACACCTCACTATCAGGACAACCTTATCGCTATGATAATACACATATATACATATATGCAACCACACACAAGCAACACCTCACTATCACAACAACCTTATCGCTATGATATTTCACATATATACATATATACAACCACACTAGCAACACCACACTGTTACAACAGCCTCGTCGCTATGACCATGCACATACACACAGATGTAGAACGGCCTACTATCACGTTTCCGCAACACGAGATGCTGTTTGAGAAGCAAATGGACTTTAAGCCCAACTTCTCCATCACGCTGATCTTTGGAGAGGTGGGGGATCTGGAGAAACGCGACGATCCAGCTATTCAGCATGTCTCCTGCCGCCACGTCAAGACGACTGGAAATCTATATGTATGTGTATATGTATGTGTAAGTGTATGTGTATGTGTATGTGTATGTGAATGTGAATGTGTATGTGAATGTGTATGTGTATGTGTATGTGTATGTGTACGTGTATGTGTATGTGTATT